AAATACCTATGATGCTCAACAATATTTAACCCAGTGGGAGGATTGTACACTGACAAGCAGACTTGACTCCTTCAAGTAATAGGAGGAAAAGAAGATGTTTATTTACTTAAATGGTTTTACACAATAAATTTAATATCAAGAAAACTATTATTTTAATATCCATGACAAACTTCGATTTTACACTATATTAGATACTTAAATGTTAGGGCTAAACTCCGTAGACTTTTCCAGGTCATCTGCTAATTTCATCGTATACGTGACCGTTCAATAGATTGAGTTCAAGTCCTCGAGGAATTTAGGTAGGAATAATTTGCTTCACTCAGGATCATCATATCATTCCTGTATATTTTGTATAGGATGAGTACGATTTATCAAGCATAGAAGAACCGGAAAAACGTTAATAAATATGATGGTTTTTAGATACAAACGCAAGCAATAAAAGTGGATTAAGGTGCAATTGACACAATAATTTGACATACTGTATATTCTATTTAAAATAATCGTGTTGGAAATAAGCGGAAAAACAGTGACATGTTTCCTGATGTGGCCTACGAAAAAAAAAGTTAAATTACCTATGTTTCAGGGATAGTAGAAATATATATTTATATGTGCTGGCTGATCTCAATAGGCCTTTATTTGCCCCGTATAGGTTATACGTATACCTGAATGCAGGTGCTTATTAAGGCATTATGCGTCTCATTTCATTTGAGTATACCAATTTATTGCAGCTGTATAATACATCCCTTATTTGGAAGCAGCATGAACAGTTATACTGCTACACTATACTATATAACGTTACTATAACTACTACTATATATAACTACTACTATATAACTACTACTATACTATATAATAACTACTATACTATAATAACGTTAACCGTTATACTGTAACAGAATTAACCGTTTGATTGCAACAGCATTAACCGTTATACTCAAACAGCATTAAGCGTTATATTGCAACAGCATTAACAGTTATATTGCAACGGCTTTAAACTTTATACTGCAACAGCACTAACTGTTATATATTGCAACAGAAATAACCACTATATTACAATAGTATTACCGCTATATATTGTAATATCATTAGCGCTATATTACAACAGCTTTACTGCCAATTTCAACAGCATTCCCGCTATATTTCTATATTCTAACAGCATTGCCATTATATTTTAATTGCATACTCGCTATATTGTAACAGCATTGTACCGTTTTATTGCACATGCATTACCCTTATATTGCAGCAGCATTACCGCTCTATTGCAACAGTATACCGCCAAATTACTACAGCATTCCCGTAAATTGTAACATATAGCATTATATATGTTACAATTTAACATAGCAATTTAATTATATTATATGTAATATAGCATTAGGTGCTATAGTACAACAAAATAACTGTTACATTACAATACACTAAACATTATTTTTGAAAAGTTTGACTACCATGGCTGTTATATGTAATTGCGTTACAATTCTTCTTCTTCTTTTGTATTTGATGAAGATATTCATGCTTTCACCGTTTCTGCTGATGAATATGGCAACGTTTCCGTCATTTTTTGGTGGAAAAGTTTCACTTTTTATTATTTTTTTCGGTCTGATGCTGAATCTCCGTAGCATCAAACTGTTCTCGGAAATAAATTAACACTGTATACCAAACAAAATTTGAACGGGGGCCCGACTCCACATTAGGTGCCGCCCAGGACTCGGGGAGCGCGTAAATCAATCGGCGTATAGTTCACACGGCGTGTAATGGCGTATGAATCACACGTAGTTTTCTCTCTGTGCAGAATGGCTCCCGCCTGCAGGTGACCCACTTTTCGATCTCCATCTGACTCACTTTTAGCTCTCCGTTGTTTTGGCTGCAAATGGGCTCAATTAACCTACAATATTTGCCTTTCTCTTAAATGTTGTTTTTGATTTGAATTAAAAATTACCGACTTTTTGTTGCTTTGATTGAAAATTTTCGATTATTGTAAAAATTAAATTTTAATTAACTAAAATTAACTAAATTAAATTAAATTAAAAAATTTCGTATATATAAATTTGAATTTTATAACGATTGCTTCGATAAAATGTATTGCAAATAAGATTTCTTGACCGTTTCTAAACCTATTTAGAAAATTTGTATATATAGACTAATTTTTGTAATAAATATGGAAAAAATTGTATACAAAAAACCGAGGAAAAGAGTAGATGACGGTCAATTGATAATTCCAAATAATTCAATAGGAAATAATTCACTCGTAAATAACTTAATTGAAAATAACTCAATTAAAAATAATTCAATTTTAAAAAATTAATTGAAAATAACACTATTAACTTTCTTCACAGAATTACATTGGGACAATTTACCTAATTAAATCATTAAAATTATAGTCAAATTTAATGATAAATTGCGTTTTTATCTTCTTCAGCATTTTTAGCATCTCCAAATTTTTGCCATTTTCTTGTTATGATTTTTTTTGTATGCTCCTGTGTGAATAAAGAATAAAGAAAGAATAAAGAATAAAGTAGGAAATACCAAACGCTCGGTATTTCCTGTACGGCGGATGTAAGATATTTCAATTTCGTTATGTATGAAATTTTATCATTTATTTCAAACTATATTATAAACGAATAGCATAATGGCCTTTCGTTCTCTCTGCAATGGCCGGAAAGATGCACTATAATTATTCTTCTATTGCATCTGATTTTAATTATTGTGATCATGCATCTGATTATGTGATTATTAATTATTATTTATTATTTATTATTAATGAAATGTCTATTCCATTTTCATATCGTTAGGTCCTGGGACGTTTCCACTGTCCCATTGTGTCCCAAAAACCATCATTTTGGGAACATTTGGCCGCCATTTTAATATTATTTTATCAATTAACAATTTATCTTAACCACAATTTTGAACGTTCACTCACCTAATTAAAAACTATCAATAAAACTTATTAAAATTTTTTAAAAATTATCTTGCCTATTAATTAACTTCAAAAGTTAAATTTCAATTCATCAAATAGCTGCTAAATTTGTAATAAGATATATAGAATTACTTGAGCTTCGAAAAAATCTAAATATATTGTAACATAATGTACATACTGAATAAATATAACATAAATAAACTTATGGAATGTAGCAAAGTTGTGCCCATTTGTGTAGCCTTGTAGGCTTAGCTGTAGCGCCGTTGTAGCGCCGTTGTAGCGCCGCTGTAGCGTCGCTTTAGCGTCGTTTTAACGTCGCTTTAGCGTCGTTTTAACGCCACTGTAGCGCCGTTGTGGCGCCGTTGTAGCGCCGCTTTAGCACCGTTTTAACGTCGCTTTAGCGCCATTGTAGCGCCGCTTTAGCGCCGTTGTAGCGTCGCTTTAGCGTCGTTTTAACGCCACTGTAGCGCCGCTGTAGCGTCGTTGTAGCGCCGCTGTAGCGCCGTTGTAGCGCACGCTTCGTTTCGTAGATTGCACTCGTAAAAAATAAATAGATAAACTGTAAATAGATAACACATCCCGTGTACATAACACATCCCGTGTACATAACATATCCCGTGTACATAACACATCCCGTGTGCATAACACATCCCGTGTACATAACACATCCCGTGTACATAGCACATCCTGTGTACATAACACATCCCGTGTACATAACACATCCCGTGTACATAACACATCCCGTGTACATAACACATCCCGTGTACATAACACATCCCGTGTACATAACACATCCCGTGTACATAACACATCCCGTGTACATAACACATCCCGTGTACATAACACATCCCGTGTACATAACACATCCCGTGTACATAACACATCCCGTGTACATAACACATCCCGTGTACATAACACATCCCGTGTACATANGGGGTACGGGGTGGGGAAATGTCACGGGGGAAGCAGTTTGGTCACGGAACAAGGAGGGATGTCACGGGGTGTAGTGTAGGGTAGGGGGAGAGATGTCACGGGGTGTAGGGGTTTGGTCACCGGACGAGGAAGGATGTCAAGGGGCACGGGGTGTGGAGGGGTGTCACGGGATGAGGGGTTATAGTCACGGGACGCCTGCGTTATTTATTTATGAGTCACTTATCCACAATAAAATATTATAGCGGCTACGGTTAGTAGAATGTTACGGAAATTATTACGGGCTACGGGCGAGTAGACGCAGCCCGTCAGTCTACGGGCTACGGGCCAGTTTACTAGACTCGTTAATATTTCATATTAAATTTACACTTTTTACATACAATTATCAGTTATAAGATAATTGTATGTAAAAACCTAACTATATTTCCTGATTACCCTAAATCAATTGGTATAGATTGTTAGCATTACATTTGAATTAGTTTCAATGTTCAGCAATTAAAAAAAGATTAATTAAATAAATAGGAATGAATTTTCATTCATGTTGCTAGTCATTAATGTTTTTTCACTCATTTTTATACATTTATACACTATCAGACAGAATTTTACTAAGCCTGCTTATATAATAACTCAGAATCTCAAAGTAAAGTTCATATTTCTCACTGCTGCAGCTTATATAAGTAATACAGGGAAGAAATACAATAAAATAAATAAATAAAAAAATAAGCAATAAATACTTATAATAAATAAATACGGGATAGAAAAACCAAAGGTTAATTTGTTAACTGCCATAATATATATAATATATATATATATTAATGAAATTCATAAATATATATAATATATGAATGAAAATGGTCTTCATATTATACGCGTGGACGCTATAGGAGAATATAATAAAAAGTCAACATGCATGCATGTTTATTAGTTGCTGTGTAAATAATATGTATATATTACGTGGTGGAGGCATATATACACGTGCACATGTAACTGTACATAAAACATGTACACGCAAACATGTACGTAAGAACATGTACACACAAACATGTACGTAAGAACATGTGCACACAAACTTGTACGTAAGAACATGTGCACACAAACATGTACGTAAGAACATGTACACACAAACATGTACGTAAGAACATGTGCACACAAACTTGTACGTAAGAACATGTACGCACAAACATGTACGTAAGAACATGTACACGCAAACATGTACGTAAGAACATGTACATACAAACATGTACGTAAGAACATGTACGCACAAACATGTACGTAAGAACATGTACACACAAACATGTACGTAAGCACATATACAACCAAACATGTACGTAAGAACATGCACACACAAACATGTACGTAAGAACATGTACACACAAACATGTACGTAAGAACATGTACACACAAATATGTACGTGAGAACATTCACATACAAACATGTACACTAACATGTAAGTGAGGGAGTTTCTATGTGTGGATGTGATCATTTTCCCCTGTGTGCTTGTATAGTATCAGAGTTTTCTGTATATTATGTACATAACGAACTTGTATATATTGTATATATTGAATTAAATGTATGTACACATAATTACTGATGATCGGGTGAGTAAATTCAGACTCATTCATCTCTGACTCATCATGTATATTCATCAATAATTTTCATTCATTAATACAAGCCATACAATGCATTCAGGTTCATTCATCAATAATTTTCATTCATTAATAAAAGCCATACAATGCATTCAGGTTCATTCATTAATAATTTTCATTCATTAATACAAGCCATACAATGCATTCAGGTTCATTCATTAATAATTTTCATTCATTAATTCAAGCCATACATTGCATTCTTGTTCATTCATTAATAATTTCCATTCGTTAATTCATACATACAAAGACAGGCTGTTGAATATACAAGAAAAAGTGTTTCTTCATACCACGTCACCCACGTCACCCACGTCACCCACGTCACCCACGTCACCCACGTCACCCACGTCACCCACTTTTCACGGCCACCACGTCACCCATGTTTCGCTCCAGCAGGTGGGGTGGGTGAAGGCGGACACGAAGGCTATACAAGCGATCCACAACCACGTGATCACCCACAACGCGCGGGTGCACGTCACCCACAGCGACCGCAACACGTGGCTGCTGCACATCCGCGGGGTCCAGGAGGAGGACCGGGGGCCCTACATGTGCCAGATCAACACGGACCCCATGCGGTCCCAGGTGAGGGTCTGGGGTCCCTACATGTGCCAGATCAACACGGACCCCATGCGGTCCCAGGTGAGGGGTCGGACCCCGTGCGGTCCCAGGTGAGGGGTCTGGGAACCATGCGGTCCCAGGTGAGTGTCTGGGGTCCCTACATGTGCCAGATCAACACGGACCCCATGCAGTCCCAGGTGAGGGGTCAGACCCCATGCGGTCCCAGATGAGGTGGACGGCGTATGTGTCTATAGAGAGTATTACAACTGAGTCGTAATTAAGAGCGCATGCGTGGGTCATCCTGACCCAGTTTGGCCCAGTTTGGGATAGCGTATCAGTGTCAATAGCATCAGTCCGGATTCATGCTAAAGCTATGGGTTGGCAAGTGTGTCACTATTTAGTCAACAGGACACATTAATTTCTTTGAGCGCACTTCGACCCAGACTGACTGGAACACTAGCGGCTGATTTACGCGCTCCCCGAGTCTTGGGCGGCACCTGATGCAGAGTCGGACCCGCGCTTAAATTTTGTTAGGTTACATACGATAGATTTATAAACCGTACCTCTATATACGATGTATTTATATATTATTATATAATAGCGCTTAAACTTTGTTAGGTTAAATACCAGAGATTTATAAACCGTACATCTATATACCATGTAATCTTTAAGAATATATAATAGCTTCTAAGTTTTGTTAGGTTGTATACCACAGACTTATAAATCGTACATCTATATACCATGTATTTAATTAATAATATGTAATAGCGCTTAAACTTTGTTAGGTTGTATACCACAGATTTAAAAACCCTACATCTATATACAATGTAGTTATATCATAATATATAATAACGCTTAAACTTTGCTAGGTTATATACCATAAACCGTACATCTATATACAATGTATTTATATCATAATATATACTAGCGCTTTAACCTTGTTAGGTTATATACCATAGCTCTATAAACCGTGTATCTATATACCATGTATTTATATATAATAATATATAATAGCGCCTAAACTTTGTTAGGTTATATTTCATAGATTCAGTCTGCTTATATCGCAGGTTCACAAGGAATTTAAAAGCAAAGAAAACACCAAGTAAATTCACCATATCGATATTGAAAACTTTTCGGAGTCCAGCTCCATCATCAGTTCGAAAAACTAAAAATGAATAAAATCTTATTACAAGACAAAATTATAAGACAGACATAAAACCTAAACAAGACCTAACATTATATCGAAATAAACAGGACTAGTTATGAACAACTTAGTCCTAGGGGTACGACAAGAATATAAAATCCTAGCGATTTACTATTTCCAGATTATATGAACTAAACGCATTATTGAGACATGGTTTTCGTTTGAAAATATGTAGAGACTCCAAAATTCTCAAAAGGGGGGCTCCTCATATGGATGGGGAGGTCGATGCAAATTCACTCGGGGAAACTTTGAGTAAAATGTCCCATTAAAGATATTTTATTTCCTACATATAGCAATACATATAATATTAGTATAGAAAAGTGATGATTAGTTATACTCTGTGATGTGATTATTAATAAATTTAAATTAATCAATATAAAAACTTATACAGAAATTGATGTCTAATTGAGGGTCAATCCAACTGATTTGCCAAAGCAGCTCGGTGATTAGATTAAGACTGTCTGGATTAGGATTTTGTGAATACATTGTTTTTGGCTAATTGAATCATGATTGGCTGATATAATTATGATTGGCTGATTTAATTAGGATTGGCTGATTTAATTATGATTAGCTGATTTAATTAGATTGGCTAATTGAATTATGATTTGCTGATTGGTAATGATTGGTTGATTTAATTATGATTGGCTGATACAATTATGATTGGCTGATTTAATTATGATTGGCTGACTGAATTGCGATTGACCTATTTAATTATGATTGGCTCACTTAATTATGATTGGCAGATTTAATTATGATTGACTAATTGGTAACGATTGGCTGATTTAATTATGGTTGGATGATTTAATAATGATTGGCCGATTTAATTACGATTGGCTGATTTGATTTTGATTGGCTGATTTAATTATGATTGATAATGATTGGGCGCCCAGGTGGTGTGGCAGCGCGAGGACATGCGGCCAATCACGGTGCGGGGTACTGGCAGCAACCAATCACCATCCAGGGTCAAAAGTGAGTCAAATAGTGTGTCTGTCAAAAATTATATAATAAAAGTGTTAATACAGGGCATATACAATACTGTATCGATGCTATACATTGTGTATACTTGCAGCGCATGTGTTGAAATTTGTTGTTCACTTGTATATTATACAGATAACAAACAATAATATACAGTAATTAACAATAATATACAATAGTACACAATAATATACAACCATAATATACAGGTGCCACATACCAGGGCGAAGTTTTAATAATCTTCTTGAAATGAATTAATAAATAAATTAAAAAGCAATCTCATAATCAAAAGAACATTAAATCGATGTTAATGCAATACGCTCATTGAATTAGATTGTATGAATAATATGTAGTAATTAGTTTTCTACGATCATGAATGATAACTCCACGGATTTCACTCCTGACATTTCAGTACCTTTTCAATCAGATTTCGGCTGGCAAACAGTCTTCGATTTAAATACAAAAGATTCCAAGTTCTAGCATTAATATATTAATATTTTAATAATTATAAAATATATAAATTATTATAACTACATGTCAATGGAAGTCAACTTAATCTACAACCAACAGAATAATATTTTATTATATCGCCAAAAAATGCATCTTAAGCATAATTTATTACAATTTAAGTTCAGTCATTATTTCTGCGGAATTATAAATTATGCATTTAATAAACAATAAAATAATTACCATTATCTCCCTCCCACTCGTTGATTACGTATAAAAAAGAAGTGCATCCTAAGCATAATTTCGAATAATTCAAGTTCAGTTCATTATCAATAGACAATTTAAAAATATTTATTTATAAAATAATAAAATAATGAATATTCTCCCCCCTCGCCCCAGTCCCCCCCGTGATCCACGTGCCCAACCAGCTGATCTCAGCGCGGGAGGGCGCCCCCCTCCGCCTCGAGTGCAACGTAGAGGCCTCACCCAAGAGCATCCAGTACTGGACCAACGAGCAGGGTAATGGGGGGTAATGGGGGGTAATAATGGGGTATAGAGCATCCAGTACTGGACCAACGAGCTTGGTAAGTGGGGTAACTGGAGTGCTCCTGTGCTGTTATTGTATGTCATTTTTTTCTTACCCAAACAAAATTTGGGTGCTGCCTAGGTCCATTAGACACTACAATCGCCTTAAAGTTATTTTGGGTCTTCATGGCCACCCTATTCAAATGACAAATGTGCTGTGAGTATGAAAAGTTTGTAATTAGAGTATGACAAGTGTGTCCTGTAATTATGACATGTGTGTCCTGAGAATATTTTTAACACGGGTTGCCCTGGCCGAGTCATACCGAACATGCAAGCTGCCCAGAGGCTGCCTTTCAAGCTCGGCCGAACCTGACATGAGCGGCTGATTTACGCGCTCCCCGAGTCCTGGGCGGCACCTGATGCAGAGTCAGACCCGCGCCTAAATTTTGTTTGGGTATTGTATATGTTATTTTAGCTTTCTTATTCATGTGCATTTAGTACTAGAACAACGAGTAAGGTGAGTTTATTTTGCTTTTCCTGGTTTTTGAAGTCTGTTTTCAATATTTGTTTAATCGACTTTCTATTTTTTATTGATGTTTGATTGTTGTCATGTTAAGGTTTGCTACCAATGTCGCCGTATTGCCACCGATCACTAATGTCGCCAGGCGAAATGTTGATCACGACGGACACGATGTTCATCAACGAGACGTTGAGCAGCTACTTCAACACGCGGATGTTGTTGACGGTTGAACATTTTCAACCCCACCACGCCGGCCGCTACCACTGCACCGCTAAGAACTCACTGGGCGACATCACTAGTGTCATCAACGTGTATAGTGAGTGATGGTGGTGGGGGATATAACTAGTGTCATCAACGTGTATAGTGAGTGATGGTGGTGGGGATATAACTAGTGTCATCAACGTGTATAGTGAGTGGTGGTGGTGGGGGATATAACTAGTGTCATCAACGTGTATAGTGAGTGATGGTGGTGGGGATATAACTAGTGTTATCAATGTCTATAGTGAGTGATGGTGTTGTGGTTTGTTGGTGGTTCCGAGAGGTGGTGATGTTATCCGAATCAAGTACTCTAAATGTGGTACCCTACTTGTTGTACGTAGTCTACTTTTTTGCATGTTCGCCACAACCATGAGTGATGAGGATAGATATTGTGGAATCCTAGCTAGCAAAAATATTCATGTTTTAACAATAAATATGAATAAATAATATAATTTTCCTAAATATTTTTTTCATTTGACATATTTGCGTGAAATTGCACGTTAATTTATAATAAGAAAAGACTAAAAGACTAAAAAAAATATAACTAGGGACTCACTGCAGTTAATGACAGAGAGCGCATTTTCTCGTCGACGAAAACATGAAGTCACGTACAGACGGACGGACAGACGGACGGGTAGACAGACGGACAGACAGACGGACAGCCGGACGGACAGACGAACGGACAGACAGACGGGCAGACAGACGGGCAGGCAGACGGACAGACAGACGGACAGACAGACGGACAGACGGACGGACGGACAGACGGACGGACAGACGGACGGACATGACGATCAGGGCCTTTTTTCCATAAATGAGAAAATGCGATAAAAATAAAAAAAATGTTTCATAACCAAAATTTCTTTACTCCCGACAGTGGTTCGGCCTCAGACCGAGCCTCCCCCGCCACCATCTTCATCAGACAACCACCGCAACCAGTCACCACCATCATCAACCACCAACCGTCATCACCACAACCACTACAACCACGATTTGGATGACAACCACATTAACGGGAACTCTCTAGACCGCTACCAGGACTGGTCCACCACCAGGTATGGTGGTAGTCACTACACGCATTACAACCACGTGACACTACCTACCCAACCTACTGGTAGAACTAGGTATTTTATCCCCATAGATACTAGTGCTGCTAGTGCGCTGCATGGTATGTCCCGATACCCCACACACGGGGTACTGAAATATCTACCAGGTTTTTACCAGGGTATCTACCAGGGTATCTACCAAGGTATATACCAGGATATCTACCAGGGCATCTCCCAGGGGATCTACCAGGGTATATACCAAGGTATCTACCAGGGTATCTACCAGCGTATCTACAAGGGTACATACCAGCGTATCTACCAGGTTATTTACCAGCGCATCTACCAAGGTATATACCAGGATATCTACCAGGATTATATACTGGCGAGTGTATCTGCGATGTGTAGATGGTATTTATACGTACTGACGAACATCTCGAATTATTTAATCTTGACCAGCAACAATTTTTGAGCTTCCGAGCCTAAAATATGTTCTTCTTTGTATGGATAGAAATTCGTTAAGGAGCATTCATGTTCCAACATTTTACGGATTTAATAATTACCTCTATGGATATTAGGTATATGATAATAATGATTTCCTATATAATTAGAAGTTATGTTAATAATGTACAATGTTACTGTACATAAGGTAACATATTGGTAGGAAAATTTGTAGAATTACCCACTAAAAAAGGGAACTTGAACGAAATGTCCAATATATGACATCCTACAGACTATATAACATTTCCTGTACATGAAGTTCATGTTCGTACATGTAAGGTATTTTACTAAACATGCCAGGAGGTAACGTATCAGTGATAGTGGGTAACTAATGTATTCCATGTTGCCAGCGACCGTATGTAACTAATGTATTCCATGTTGCGAGCGATCGTGGGTAACTAATGTATTCCATGTTGCGAGCGATCGTGGGTAACTAATGTATTCCATGTTGCCAGCGATCGTAGGTAACTAATGTATTCCATGTTGCCAGTGATCGTGTGTAAATAATGCATTACAATTTACATTAAATATAATATTTACATGCATTAGCTAAAATGTCGTCGCCATATGCTGGGAAGCTTGTAAAATGCTATTAACTTTTGTGAGTAACAAGAGACGATATTATAGGCATAGTTACTGATCACCTATTTATTAAGTAATTGTTAATAATTAGCCACGAAGAATGTTGATGAAGTTTTGAATGTCTGTTTTAAATTAAACGGACTCTGAACCACTTTTTTATTTGTGTATTTATAACCAACCCGCACTGACTACAGGTTTTTCTAGAGGTTTTACTGGATTTTCCAGAGGTTTTCAAGAACCACCTTTTTCGAAAGTTTAGATTTCAGACGTTGCAGTCCCAGGCCACGTTGTAGGGCCACAGGACATGAATATATTCATGTTTGTTATCAATGAATTTTTATTTACACGACTTGAGTTAATGAAATAATAACTCAAGTTATTTATCAATTCAATTATTTAATTAATTTATTAAATAAAAATGTTAATTTTTAGCGGAGCTCAGAGAAGAAATTATTATTTAAAGTAATTTTAAAAATTTCAACGTTGAGTAATCTTGTATATATGTTCCCATGCCGCAGCTGCTAATATATCTATGATCTTTTAAGTGTATAAGTAAGATGCACTTGTAAACTACTTATCTATTTAAGACCAATATCTAAAATGCTTGAAATAAAGTGTTCAACTTTAAAGAAGACGCTTTTTTCTCCCATTCATTTTATTACTGAAAATTATGAATTAATAAATAATTAATGAAATTTTATTGCAAGTTTTGCTTATGACTAGGAATCATAAAAATTAAGAAATTAAGAAAGAATTGCTACAATCATAAAAAATAATGGGTTAGCTTGTTCAAATAGTGACACACTTTTCGCACGTGGCGCCAATACTCATTTTTATGCGGCACTAGGGTAAAAAAAAAGGAAAATATTTCGGAAAAATTCACGGAAATTTAAAAAAATTACGTGATGGAAGAAATGGCATTAAAAGATTACTGGAAAATTTTTGCTTGGAAATTAATTGTTGAAAGGAAAAAAAAGAAACGACCCAAGAATTTAAAACAAAAAATAAAAAAATTCATTCCAATTCATAAAGATGTATGCGTATCACATACAAAAAAATATGGCATCCGGAAAAATCGAAGGGATAAAAAATCTATTAGAAAAAATGCATTGGACAAATTTATCCAAAAATGAATACATGAATGATAGAGAATGAGATATAGTAATCATTAATGTATCTAATTTATTTAAAAATCTAGTAACAATAATTATACGAAAAATTGCGTTAAGCCAATTCTGAACAACAGAAAATTTTTTTATCAACTTACAAAAATTGAAAAAATTAATGTAAAATCCCGAAGGAAAATAGATAAATTTCTGGTAATAATACGCTAATGAATTTAATATAAATATAATTTAATTTATAGAAATAAATTTTTTAATTGAATAATTTCATTTTAATCTTAAATCAAATATCACGATTTTTCTATTTCATTTAAGATATTATGAAAACTGCATATTTTTTATATTATATTATAAGTAATAGATTTATATAAAATGAAGCGAAAATTTATTTATGTTCCCTATTTTCAACATCTTAAAGAATTTTTGAATGTTCATACCAACTTCATCATTTTCAGATATTATCTTTTTTTCGACATGCATAAATTTTCAACCTCTTTTCCTTTTTTCACCAAAACTATTAATATCTGATCTCTATTCAAATATATAGTAAAAATTCATTTTTAATTCTAATTACAATACCGCAAGACTTGACATTCAATTTATATTAGAACACATCAGTTGATGACGTACACATCAACGCTTGTGTACACACACTTACGTACATGTGTACGTACGTATACGCACACGTATTCTGCTTTCATATGTGTACAGCGAACAACGTACACATGTACACAGCTCGGACATGTGCACGTATGTACGTACTGTGTACGTTCTCGCATGCGCACACCTTAATAACGTACATGCTTGTATACGTGTCGTGTATGAGCTCACGTATGTGCGTCTTATGTATGTGCGTACACACTGAGTGCACATCTTGTGTACGTCTTGTGGTGAGTGTGTATTGTTTACGTACACGCGTGTACACACTGTGTGCACGTCTTGTGTACGTACACACTGTGTGCACGTAACCGTGTACGTACACACTGTCTGCACGTCTTGTGTACGTACACACAGTGTGCACGTCTTGTATACGTACACAATGTGTGCACGTCTTGTGTACGTACACACTGTGTGCACGTAACCGTGTACGTACACACTGTGTGCACGTAACCGTGTACGTGCACACCATGTGCACGTCTTGTGTGCGTACACGCGTGTGTACGTAAGCCACAGTTCAGCAGAACACGACAGAGGCGGGGACTTGGATCTCAATGTGGCCTGCTTAATGGCCTTCATCTGGCCTTCCCAGGGCCTTCATCTGGCCTTCCCAGGGCCTTCTGCTGGCCTTCCCCGGGCCTTCTTCCTGGACTTATTCTTAGCCTTTCTAACTTCTTCAATTTTTTCATTTATTATAATTTTCTTAATTATATTTTTTCACCGTTAAATAAAGTCAAAATTTCTTCCATATTTGGTCTCCTCAAACGGGGTTCACCCATCACGTCACCATCACTCCCTCTTTCCCCCTCTCTTTTCCCTTTCCCTCCTCTTCAAAATTCCCCCGTTTCTCTTTATCCTTCCACCTTTTCCCCTTTCCATTTCATCCATGTTTCCCTTCCTCCTACCTTCACACAATCTTCCCCTCTCCCCAAACTCATATATGTGTCTCTCCTTTCCCCCACCTCCTCAAAATCACTCCCCTTCCTTCCCAACAATCATAGAAAAGGTCCCCTTTTCCCACACCTTTTTCCCCACCTTTTCAAATTCTATTCCTTCGCTCCTAAAATCACAGAAAAATCCCCTTTCTACCCCCTCTTCCCCATCCTCAAAATCTCTCCCTCCTTCCCCAAAATCACAGAAAGGGCCTCCTTTTAAATAGCGATGCATCACTCTGCCATTGTGTGGGTCACCCTGACCCAGTTTAGACAGGCAAAAAAGGCATCTCAGAGCTATGAGCAGAAAATGTGTCACTATTTTAACTTCATAGCCTATTAATTTTTCGCAATAATCGCTTAACATTGATATTGTAAAAAACTATTTGATATTCCGTTACAATCTTATGATGTCAGCAAAACAACACATAAAATGCTATGTGCTGTGTTGAGTTTCAATACAAAATATTGATATTCATGAAAACGTGTACTTAGTATAACTTTTCTAGAAGCGCTAAAAAGAAAATTGCGGGATTTTTTCGAAAAATTTTGCCTCGAAAATGATTTTAATACATGGATATCGACAGCGGTATGTAGAGGTATTTTTATATTGGTCCAAAAATCAGGAGAGATTAAAACTTGCAGAAACCCACTCAAAAAACTCTGTGGTTCCCCTAATTTTAAATTTTTGGCAAAAAAATGCACGTGTTATGAAATTTAACAATTATAAAATAATTCCGTCAATCTGGCAAAGTAATAACAACGTTTATATTAATATTCATTGGGTAAAAAAGTAAAAATGTGTCTACAAAATTGGCTGGGTGGTGATTTTGAATTTGTAAATAGTTTCGGCTAAAGTATTTGCCGCCAGAAAATAACGGTCGCGGTTTGAACTGACCAATAGGAGCGCAGGATCGCATCAAAGGGGCGGCGTGACAGCCAATCACAGCGCCGGAAACACCTCATCACCGGTCAGGTGGCTCCTCAATGAACCCAACACAACTTTCTGCTACCGTTTTTTATTTTATTTTTGTGTTTTTTTTTATTTTCAATAATTCTATTTCCTCCTTTCTTCCTTTTTTTGTATTTCATAAATTGAATCTGTTGAAAAAAATATCACTTTATACATGATAAGTGTTGCTCGTTGATATATTTTGAAGTTTAATTTTATTTAAAATAGTATAGATTTTCCATAGCCCTATTTTCTTTTATTTTAACTTGAAGATTTTATTCAACTTTAAAGTTTAAAGAGAATGAACTCGGTAAGCAAAAACTCGTATAACTATATTTACAAATTTTACTGATAAATAAAGTTTGTAAAAATAGATCGGAATTAATCGTAAGTATCGGACAGTTAATTGATGCCACCAGCATTCTTCTACAATTTCTTGAAGTTATTAAATTAAATAATGCTATTCAAATTACTTAATTAATAAAGTAAATTGATTTATATACTTTAAATTTATTTTATCACGCTTCATGTTCATATTATTACACAATAAGCTACAAATTCAATATACATTTCCCTCTGATTGAATAAATATCATAATATAGAAAATATCGGCAATGTGATAATATAAAACAAAGAAGATAATATAAAACATAACGACAATATAATAAATATAATATAATAATAGTATAAAACATTAATAACAATAAAAGAACAATCGTTAATAATTTTTATATATTCCTTGGGCTGAATAAATTAATTAATATATGGTACTTATTTTACATATATTTTATTCACTTATAAAGATAAAGAAAAGGAGTATCGAGATTTCGAACTTTTAAGGAATGATTAATTCGTCGAACTTTGCTTTCTATTTGTGGTTCGTCGTAGTTTGGTTCGAAACCCGCAGTCATCTGTGAAAATTTTGATCATAATCGGCAATGTGGCCATGTAGGTGAGAATCGGCCAAAATCAGTACAATACTTCTATTTTTATTATTATTATTATTTATTAGCATTATTATTATTACTATTATTATACTCCTTAATTTTTATCCTTTCCTTATTATTCTAGCTATAAATATTATTATTATTATTATTAGTATTATGAAATTGACTGCAAGCCCAAGACTGAAGCAGAGGTGAGCACTCAAGTATAATATAGTTAGTCATAGAAACTTCTTAGAAAACGATGTTTTTTTCAGAAAACGTTTTTTCCTGCGTTGACTATTTTAAAGTGATTGAATGTAGGTCAATTTGGAAGTAAACCCGGAAATTGGATGCTTTGAATGAATTCGCATGAAACACGATTGTAAATTTGATATTTTAAAGAGTCAGTCATTTCGACTGACTCAGTGGCATTTACAGTGAGTTAAAAAACGCATAAGTAAAGTTCATGTGGATATGAACTGAACTCATGACTCGTCAGTAAATAGTAATCACTCTCTAGATATGATTCATGCGATATAC